GACAGACAGTGCTACGTAATCTCCTTCATACTCCTCTGCTAAGTCAAAGATTGGCCGTCTCTGTGCTTACGCCGCTCTGAGTTGGGCATGGAAAACAACACTCCCTTCGGCAAACGATGGTTCGGCATACGCAACACATGTCCCAACCAACGCAGCTCCTGGTGCTGGACACATTCTTCAATGGAAGTACCCGTTGCACAACCGAAGTCGCGCTTTCCAATTGCCTCGTTAAAAATATAAAAATAAATCGTTCAGCTGTAACACCCTTCCGGTGCCTAGCTGCCATACCACCCGAAGGATGCACGAGGGCTGGGATACTGCCAAGCCTAGACAGGGAAGTCGAGAGGTAGAGGTCGGATTCGAACCACGGACAATCTGGTCAGTAAATGTGCGCTCTAGCCACTTGAACCATCTTGTCTCGTTACGGATACGCCGACAACGACTGTCGAAGGTCGCAGTTGCGCTGCTCGAATAGGCCAAGTCTCACAGCCATGCAGCAAAACAGCCCGTAGTGCAGCTTGATACACATGTCCCTTGAGATTCAGGTATTATTAGTGGGAACAGGCAAACTGCATCCCGTAATGAAGAGACATTGCTTGTTAGATGGTTGGATTTCCGCAGACCTGAATAATCTACATGTTTGAGTGCCGAAAAAAAACTTGCAGATATGGTAATCCTCAATGCGGTTAAATTAAAAAGGCATTTAGCTATGGCACCCGTTCGGGGCCTAACTGCGATGCCACGCGGAGGAAGCACAAGGGCTGGTATACTGCCAGATTGCCCAAGCCTAGACAGGGAAAGTCGAGATGGAAGTCGGGTTCGAATCAAGGACCATGTGGTCAGTAAATTCACGCCTTACCCATTGCGCCATCTCGCCCACAACATCCGGTCAGGTCAGTGGCGTCTTTTACGCAATAATTAGGCTATCACAGTGACTATCCCGCTTGAAAAGGTTGATCTAATTCACCCTACCAAATACACAGGCTTTCGAACACTATGTATTCAGAAAATGCTTAAAATAACGTACGAGCACTCACAGCTTGCTCAGTGACAATAAATTCACCAAATCTCCACGGTATACTGATTGGTAAGAGGGATGGGAATTTATCCAACTGGAATCACATGTTAAAATAATAGCAGTGTTGCACTGACAAGTATACGACGTGCATGGAAACGACTAACTCACAACTGGAATCACTTTTGGGTCAGGTTTGATAATGATCCCTACCCCAGAGGTGAAGAGTGCTGTTTTCAATCCATGACAGCTCAGTTGATTCGTTTTGAAACACAAGTGCAGGAGGTTACACTTGAAAAATGGTTGCACAGTGCGAAGGAAAGCAGCACCAAAAACAAAACAGGTCAAATAGTCCACAAGGCTTATTAGGCAATGCTGATTAACAAGATCCACGAACCATCTACCATGAGCAAATTAATCTTCTCGGTAACGTACCGTTTAGTGCTCTAATTCAAACAGATCCAAAAGTAAACTAGCGACCAAGAGAGATGTAACAATCAGTAAACAGGGAACGGGTGAATATGTGTACTCACGAAGAGAGAAGGCTCTCAGCTTTGGCTGTCAGCGGCAGTAATGCGTTGATAATCTGATTCAAATCCACATACGGTTCCCAGACAATAAAACCGCGTCCAAGCAAGTCGATGGCCGCACGACGAAGTGAAGTATGGACGTTGCTAGAAAGCATAGCAGCCATTGCACTAGCTGCCGTTGATGGAGAGTCACCGCTAGAGAAATCCGGACCATGCAGTGGTGTAGAAGATGCCTGAGGAACTGCAAAGGGCACAAAAACCACGTAAACGTTCCATTGGTTAAACAACCACAAACATGGAGTGTGCATTCAGGATATACGAGTTAGGTTTTTCTTCACAGAGAGAAACGCAAAGGTCACAACATAAGCCGACATCGCTCCAAACAGTGAATTCAACTGGCTGTTTAAAAACGCTGTCACTGTTACAGTTTATCTGCAGAAACATCAACCATATATATATTCCCAAGAGAAAATACCACAAGCGGAGGTATTGCTTGAGAAAAGGCGTAACTATACAGCCCATCTTCTGGTGGTTGATCAGTTGGTAGTTGATCTGTTCGCCGAGCTTGGCAATTGGCTTGCAAACGTTTCGTCCCCAGTCGAGGAGACATCGTCAGTGCACAGTTGAACAGCCCATCTTCAATCCAGTGCCACCTAGTATTATTCTAAAAAGATGACATCAAATTTGGCTGATTGCATACAAAAACTCAAGCAAGACTATACATAAGGCACGTAGCCCTTGCCGATTCGTTTAGGGAATTTGACCTTGGTATAATCGAGCTATTGTGAAATATCCCAGTGTCCCGAAACGATCGTAGAAAAAATGAGTTGGGTCACAGGTACACATCGACTTAAATTGAGACACCATACAGAAATTGGTCAATACAGCGTGCTCTCATCTGAAAACAAATCCTGAATTCTACTATTTTCTCACATCCGTAGTGTTCAACGCGCGGTCTCCTAATCTGTCACCAATCACTGGTTAGCGGAGAGCGACCCGGACTGACTTAGTGTTCTCCGTTACCTCGGATACTCCGTCTTCCAGGAGTTGAGAGTACTTAATTCAACGTCTTTAACTATGGAATCAAGTTGGTGAATCCTGTGGTAAGAATCGCTTGTGAGCCTCAACTTAATCCAGTACGGAGGCACAGTTCACAACTTGCACAGAATTACTGCTCGGTAAACAGTGTAAAATTCACAAGACTTTTAAGGCCTTCAACATAGCATTCGATTACAAATTAGTTGAATTAATTAATCAACTATTCAATTGTAACTTCATAAAAACTCTGTATTCGAAATTCCATGATATGTTTCTTTCATTCTTTCCCTCAAGTCTGAAAAGCGTTCTTCCTTAGCGACGTATGGATAAATGAACGTAGAAAATAATTTTCCCTAGCATTTCTAACAGTCATAAACCAGATCTTTAATTAACATTCATTCTTTAGGTAAAAACAGTTCCTATCGGAATCATTCTTCATTGGGCACACATCGGCCTTTCCCTCCGAAGATTGGACAAACATGACACTGGCCAGCCTTCCTCTGTGCAAAAAATATCAAGTGTGGTTGCGAGCTAGCCTCAGATTACGGGAATAAGTGTAATAAAACAAGACGAAAAATCGCGAAAACGCGAGGATAGAGCACAGTTCACAGAGCTAACGGTTAATTTAACAACAGAACAGACGTCCGGATATTTCCCACACAGGGGAAGGTTTGTGCTTCAGGCCCAACTCTGGCTTTCCAAGTACTTCTGTCTAAGAATGGACAACCAGGTAGTATCTAGACCTTCGTATTTCCTTCGATTTCCACCAGAGATGTGCATTAAAGGGGTGTCACAGCTGAAAGACGATTCATTATTATTTATGTTAGCGTATCTGGTGATGTAAGTGTCCGGAGGCCAGCCGTCCCTAATAACCGAACATCACATCATTTGGACGGATGTGTCACGTGCAGGATACAGACCAAACAAAGGCATGCCCTGATTGGCCAGAATGCCAGCCAATACGAGTCAAGCATCTTTGACTCGACACTTCTCGCCTCCTCACGGAGATTCTACTACGAACTTGTGGAACAACCTGCAAATACCCTATAAATACAGTTGTAATAATTTTACTTTGTCTCCATAAAGGGCTGTGTAGAGCTACCGTGCCTTCTGATGTATCATAGTGGGCGGAACAGGAAGCCAAGGGACCGATACAGAATTGCACTACCGTACAGCAAGACACAACAGTAAGATACACTGTACTTAGGCGAAATCCCACAGCAGGCTCTTGTAGCGTCTCGGCTTTGAGACCCAGCGATCTGAATCATAAATCTGTTGAAACGGCTGATTCCACCCAAGTGTATTCAGCATTCACTTGAAAACGCTGGAATTTTGTTGCAAGATTGTTAGTATTTGAAAAAAAACAAGACAGGTAGACTCAGTTCTGCTGCGACGTAGCGGCAAGCCGGATGAAACGACCATGTTAGGCGCAGTTTGTAGAGCACCACTTTGGATATTTGTGTAAGATTCGGCTCGCCGAATCTAACGCATGGATTTAAAACTATGCGCTTGGCTGGTTGCAAAGATTCCAAAACCTGAATAGTGCTTCCAGAATAGCCATTGTGATAACAGCATGAAGTGACTTGCCAAAAGTCCAGTAAAACTTGAAAACGATGTGGAACTCTCGCTCGAAACTAATAGAAGGCGGTTGGTAACATCAAGTACGGTTGGAGAATGATCTGTCGGCACAAAAATCTTAGTCCTGGTTTGAAGATAAATAGGCCAGATGAACACCTCAGGTTACTACGGGGCGTTTTTGCAACAGGTACATTCAAAAGTTGCCGGCAGATTTATGACAGTGACTCTGTTAAAACTGACCTAAAAGATTGAACGGTGTGCATGACCCGTTAAACTGGAGGACGACCATACAAATTGATTTTTTGGTGTATAGCAAAACAAACAGATGGTCTTAAACACTTTGTAGCGGGGGGACTGCTGCAGGGTACACACTCCTAGTAGAACATCAGTGATTAGCACTCATTCATCAACTAAAAAGCGCAACCATGACGAAAGGTCATAAAGACTATATTCTAGCCTAGTATAATGACACATATATAAAACAGAAATGCATTCATTCAAGCCACACATAAAGCAGAGGACAAACAATGAGTGGACACAACAAGTGAATAGTAATCCAAATCAAACAAACCTCGATTCAGAAGGAGAGCTGTTAAACACTGACTCAATGCCCGAGCCAACTGATAGTTATCTACGCGAAAACCTTCTGGCACAGCATAGTTTTCGTCTGAAGTGTCCTCACAAAACTGCTGTATCGTTGGCTCGGAGGTGGACTGAGCCCCAACATCAGCGTGTCGATCGTGGGTGTCAGGCGAAGCGAAACAAGCGGCAGCCAGTCCGCGAGATGTAGCAGCACTGCCGCGTTCCGCAGATATGGGGTCAATGTCAGAAATCAGATCCCGAGAAGCCACTGCAGGATGTCTGTGTTTTACTCCGGCACCAAATCGGAAACCGATCACACCTAGGATTACTGTGGCCATTGCCTAAGAAAAAAATACAAAACAGGAAATACGTCAAGCTTCCGGCGGTCAGCATACCAACAGAGGAATGGAGATTCCAAAATGTGCTCATGGTTTCAATCTGGGGTGTGAATATACATAACAAGTGCTGGAAACGTGTTTCCTCCAGTGTAGACACATGGGAGTACCTAAGCTGACGAAGTATATTGGTTTACAATCACATTCGTCAAGCACTCAAACCATGGATAGTTGGATGTGTCCAAATCAGGAAGCGAACCACAGAAAAGGGGCACTACGGGGGCTGCATGGAAACAGATGAAGTTCCTCTGGCAATCTGATGACTTCGGCGGCTGGGATGCGCGCTAACCGGCTGTTGGTCGAGTGGCAATCGATCTGTTTGTGGAGCTTGGTAATCGACTTTTGGAAAGTCTCGTTACCGTACGAGGGGACATCATCCGTGTGCGCCCGCAAGATGCCTTCTCGTATGGTGAAGAAACGTCAGTAGGTCGATTACGAACCTCGGAATTACTCTGACCCCCGATTAATGAAATCAGAGGAAACGGGAGCATATAGGTAGTATCCACTTCGAAAATACAACAAGTACAAGGAATTCGAAAATCAGGTTGAGGACGCCATTGAGGCGTTTGCACTGCTTGCGCCGCGTTCACTAGGAAGAACATCAATCTGTAGGGGTGACCTCCAATGACGTGGTAACCTATGTCGTTGACTTGAATTTTTCCGTTCTTGTGGTAAACTAATCGGTGAACATGCGCACCTTTCATGTTGTAAACTAGCAGACTTGAGAAGGACAACATGAAACACGTATAAACCCGAAAGGATATTATGCTATTGAAAAAAGGACGGTAACCGTACAGGAAGAGGATCTTAACGTCGTTAGACGCAACACGCAACGAGTGTCAGGACCTCTCTTACCAATCCGTTCAATGGATAAAGGTCTGACGGACAGTCTCCTGGCCCTCCGAATCGGGTGTGAAAACAGTTGCAATCTCTTGTTCCTATTAAAAACGACCGCCTTCGACAGACCAACGCAGGCCACCACTGCCTTATGAACCAAAAGTTTGACTGAGGAACCCAACCGTCCTACTGTGTGAAACTGGATGCCGTGATAGTAGCCTAGTTTGCATACTCAGATGCACTACCATGCCACGTTGGCCACTGTAAACATCAACACCACAACCACTAGGGCAGATAAGCAATAACATGTGAATTCTGGCGCCTCTGATCATCCGACCGTGTTGTCTATAAGCCCACTTGGTGCACCATTCAGTGATAACGCTCATCTGTAGCACTCTCTCGGTGCCTAAATGCCATGCCACCCGAAGGAAGCACGAGGGCTGGGATACTGCCAGGTTGCCCAAGTCTAGACAGGGGAAGTCGAGAGGCCGAGGTCGGGTTCAAACCACGGACCTTCCGGTCAGTAAATTCGCGCTCTGACCACTTGGGCCATCTCGCCCAGGCTCAAGGCACACTAGTCGCATACCAATAAAAGAGGGCCAACTACATAGTAACACCCATACGTATCGCTTTGTGTCCACTATTCGAACCTAGTTTTCCTGCACTCTGGCTTTTCAGATGCTGTGGGCAGCGAATTCATCACCGTTATTCAGCTATTCCAGCTAGTTGCACTGGTATTCATACACATCTCAGCCGCGAGTGAAGAATTTCTTGCCTGACTAGGTGCCTGTCTTCTGTTTATCTCTATAAGAACCAGCGCTAGTGGAAACAGCAACCCCTTTTTACGATTTCTGTTTCAACACAATCAACAGAAGCTCTGATTCCGAGAATGACACTTACAGAGAACTAACCGGAACCACCGAATGTCTCAACACCCAATGAGATGCTACAGTACGTCAAAGTAAGGTGACCCGATAATTGTAACCGTCTTTTTAAAGTTTCTGTTGACTGTCAGGAATTTCTCAGTAGTAGTGGGTTTAGGCGCAGCAAGTGGCGTTGCGACTCCATATGATACTGATCAACTCAGACGCTAAACCGATCACATAACCATGACCTGCGGATGCTGAGGCTCGGTTCTTGATTACCGATCACCTTGGAATACACAAGGTCATGCAGACTAAGCGTTCGTCACGTGTGAAGTTTTGACAATCTTCCCCAAGTAAACGTAAAAAACAAGCTCGATATTTAGCAGTTTGGAACCATGCAGTAAACGAACATACCAGAATATATTACGTGCTGCTCTGAAGGCGCAGTTAGGAAGAGATAACCACGACTACAGACGACGTTTGAAACAGTGTGTGATGTTTCTAACCACGGGATCTCAAACCGGTCATTGTCAGTCCACGATTCAAAATGTTTCCCCCCACACACAGCACAATAACAAAGCATGTGGACGAAAAGGGGAGCGTGGCAAACGGGGACATGAAGAGGGCGAACGCAGCAACGGGTGCGCAGCAGCTGTTGTAACCCACCAGCAATACAGGACGTGTAAGAAATTACCTGACAGTGAGCCAACAACATTACTGGAAACCTAGATTGCTCACCAAGTGCGGTCAATCAATCACCACAACTTTATTGAAGAATATGCGAAACGACTGTCATACCATGGGTGCTGGATTCAACAATATTGTGATGCTTAAGTTTGGCACCTGATATGCAAATAGGACAGCGTCAAGAAGTTCACCCGGATAGAGAACGGACTGATCATATTTGAGCATCGGATGGATTGTTTGAGTGTCACGCAACATCAACGAACCAGCACTATTCTCCTCAATCTCAGAGGGGATTTCGATTATGGATCCACTCTTCTGCATGTAACTGACCACAGCAAAACACTCCAGAACCGTTGCAAACCGTTGCAAAACCTGGTACATAAGCTGTCCTAGAGTAGCGCCGGATACTACTGATGAAGCATGCGAGTAGTATGTGGTTTTCCCACAAATCCGCATCCATTGAAAAGTGAGATTTATTACGGAATTTGTGGAATCACTTTGCAGCATTCGTTTATGTTTGAGCGATAGTCATTGCGTATCCAGGAAAGTTCGTGAAGACGCCTTCGAGAAGAAGACAGACATACAGTTTTTATAAACAAGAGGCACGTGAGAGTTTTGCTTTCTGTCCACTAGTCTGTAACTGTTCAGTTGGTGTTTTCCAATGAATAACTCCGCAGCGAAGGCCTTCTTCCTTTCACCAGTAGTGACTATTCCGTCACAAAGTAGCCAGATTCCCAAGTCAACGTTCATCTGACGTCGCTCAACTTCCTTAAGGACGCAAGGCTACTCCATCTTCCCCTTCACTCCCAATCTTTTCTCAGAATGGTATGCAAATACAGCTACTCAGTAACAGCGTATTGTCAGTGAAGATGATGGTGACGACGAAGATGATGATGTGCTCGGAATTCGAGCATCCCGGTGTAGGATGTGATGGATAGATAGATGGATACTTGGTCGCACGCAAATCAATCGCAGAGGTTATTCACAACAAAAAGAGAACATAAGGTTGACGGAAACTCAGGGGCTGCGCCTACCTGATAAGCCCCAAGAAGGACGAAACTAGTCGTGGGTTTTCGAAGAGATTTTAGCAACCTTGTGAGTAGTTTACTTCATGAAGAAAGGCATGAAGTTGGTGAACCGCACACTTCCACGTGCGTTGAGAACTACTGGCTCCACTCTACTTTTACGAAATTGAGGAAGAGAATGTATTTAATAACACTAAATTACCTGTTGAAGCAAGCTGTCTAACTGAGACTGAAGTATGACCCATTCACCTCAACTTTGGTAAGGACCATCTCAGCAGACAACCAATCAGTTATAGCGGACATACCATAAAGCTATAGGGTTGAAAGTGATAGTCACGAACAGAAAAGGGGAAAAGATAAAAAATGGGTGAGAATTTGCGCACCAAAACACCAATCGATAGGATAACATCGCTGCCCAACGACGTAAAAATAAGGCAATATCACCAAGATCATCACCAAAGTCGAATATCAGTCTTCTACTGTCGCACAATCACGATCACGGGAATATACAGAGTAGACTCATGGATCATCAAGCATAGTCAGCGTTGGTCAAATTGTGTCACTTATGCCGTCAGAAACCAAGTTCGCTGAAACTAAAGGGCCGTGTATACACGGTACCGCAAGAGCAGTCTTATTTTGTAGTTGCGATATTCACCTCCTGCAATTTTTGATGGGCTGGTGGTGTTTGTTGCAGCATCTGTAGAGTTTAAGGCCAAAATCACAGATTTATCCAGCTGCAATGTGCATGTAACGAGGTGTGTGAGCGGGTTAGTCAGTCGCCAATTAAGAGTGGCGGAAGCGGCGAGTTGACCAATCCTTGACGTGGCAAAGGGTAATGAAAGAGATTACGAAACGTCTGGGTGCTGTCGGTGCTACTCACCTTACAGGATGGAGATCGGGTGATACACAGTGCGACTGGTTGGAAACGCTGCAAGATGTGGCTGCTAATCCACGTCAATGGCATTCGTGTTGTCAGTTTCTATTCAGATTGCCCGACTGAGTGTAGACACCTTGAAATTGTTCAGCTGCAGCACCCTTTCGGCGCCTAACTGCCATGCCACCCGAAGATTGCACGATGGCTGGCATATTGTCAGGTTGCCCAAGCCCAGAGAGAGGTCGGGTTCTAACCACGGACCTTACAGTTAGCAAATTCGCGATTTAACCACTTGGGTCACCTCGCCCCACCACATTGAAATGATTGCACTATGATTGCACTTTGACTCTTTTCTGCACAATAAGGCTTCCAAATAAACCATGGTCGTAGGGCAGCAAAACATCAGTGTTAAACACTGAGGCCATATTGTCGATGATGGTGATGATGGTCGCCTAAGAGCAGTCGTTACAGCTACTACCGCTTCGTTCACCGAGAATAAGAGAAGCACGGGGACGAGAGTCACAAGTTGGAGGCATCAGTTGGATAAGAAGTGGCATAGAAACGAATATCTGAAATAAGTAGCCAAGCCAATACATTACTACAACCTACAGGTATTTGGGGAGGAGCTGTCACTTGATAGAGGTTATCTGTGTGGTAATGCACTCATCTATAATATGATCGAACACCAATGTTAGTCAACAGGAAGGAGGCTCATGAAAACCAGACAGCACAGAACACAAGGATACTAGTATCCACCGATTCCACCTGTACTTGTATGTGGCGCAAGCTGCTGAGGGTACACAAGACCACCACAGTTTGAAAAAGTAGTACGGTTAGTATAACTAACTATCCATAGCATGGGAAATAGAATCCACGAAGGGGGTAACAATCAGAAAAGTGCGCGTCAGGTAGGAGGGAAGAGTGCAGAATTTCAAAGCAGCGAGAGACACGCCCACCACTGATGGGATCACAGATAAAACATCAACTAGATATGGGACGAAGAAATTGTAGGGGGGTGGAAAATTAGGGTTGAAAGAGCTAGGGTGAACACTGACGCGGTGAATCAAGTTACCTGGCTACGGCCGAGGCGACGCTAAAGTGAGAAACGATCATACGGGGAAAATATTCTGTGATCGGTCATCATCTCGATCGAATATCAGGCAGCTAGTCTCAGTATCGTATGAATACTGCGTCTACACTGACTTGAAGCTAAACAATTGGATAAATGTACCGTGTGTAAATTAATTGCCGGGAAGAGAAACAAACAATTTGTGGACGCTTTTACCCTCTCTCTAAGAAGTCATTTTTCAGTTGTGACATCCTTTCGGTGCCTAGCTGCCATGCCACCCGAAGGAAGCACGAGGGCTGGGATATTGCCAAGTTGCTCAAGTCTAGACAGGGAAAGTCGAGGGGCAGATGTCGGGTTCGAACTACCAACCTTCCGGTCAGTGAATTTGCGCTCTAAATATTGAACCATTCGGTTCCCCTCTAAGGATGGAGAACATGAGAAGTGGCTATCAAAAGATATTACTTGTGGGCCCTCCACCTCTCTCGAACGAGGTTTGGGGGAAAGGCATAGGACAGGCATATTTACAACAGCATGGGCAGTGATAATAAATGGATTTCACAAGAACGTTGATAACCGGTGAGACAATGGAACGAGCTTCACATCACTAAAGAAGATTACTGTAGCATTATAACTGCAACCATATCTGGTGACTAAGGCGTCACTTGCCAGCCGGCCGTGCTGGCCTGGACCATATCACAATAACCTGGCAGTATCGCAGCCCTCGTGCTCCCTTCGGATGGCATGGCAGCGAGGCACCGGAGGGGGGCTACAGCTGAACGATGTGATGTGTGACCTGACACATCGTGCTTAAGGGACGTAATAGCTTCAGCTACTAATATCATGTTCAACAACAAGAAAACCGAGTGTTTAGAACAGCGAATTGGATGCCACAGCACAAAACTTTTGGGTTCGAATTCAGTGACGATTATATACGCTTCATTATCGCTTCCACAAACGCTAGAGGGGAATTTTTGGATGCGCTGCCTAATGATGCTTTCTAGTAGCGACTATTTTATCAGCTTGTTCCCACTAAGCAGTTGTCAGTCCACATTCACACGCACTTTTGTGCAAACACCTAAAACGTGCTACTGTGCACGTTCTGTGGTTTTTACACTTATGACCGTACAACTTGGTTGGACGGTAAACAAGCAATCCAGCTGCGAAGCTCCGCAAACAGAACAACGGTGAAGTAAACAAACAAACTGGGGCTAAATCATAGGCCACGGATCGGATAGTGTCCACTGGGACATCTTAAGAGTCTAAAGGAGCAGTTCACTAGTTTCGTGGGACTCTGTTCTATCTTTGAACATAAAACCGTCACCGGGGAGCATTTTTGAAGCAACTCAGACACTACTCCAAAGGAACTGAAAATGTCCTTCAGTAGATAACAGGTGAACAAGGACAAAAAAGAATCCGAACTACGTCTATGCAAGCCAAAAGCCTGGATATGAAAGTCGAAACTCAGCGAGAACGTGTCAGTTGGACAAATGGAATCACCAACCGACAGTTTCAAGCCACAATATAAGAGATGGTTCGAGGGGAGTAAGGGCAGATTCATCTGAGAAAGGCCTACTGTAGCAATAAACCTGAAGGGTGTAGCGTATTTTTTGCTGAAGGGCAAATTCCTTTGATGGTGGTCGTTTTAGAGAGGGACAACAGTACGTTAGATTAAAACGGCAAGTACAAAAATAAGATTAGAAAGCATTTTGCTCACTTGTAAACCAGCGTAACCTCTAGCAGAAAGCCGATATCCATCCAGTGACAACAAGTGCTCACCAACATCAACGTAAAAATATCCGGACTCCAAAGAAGCTGAGCTCATCAAACACAGAGAACCACTTCTACACACATCTTTTGCCTGTGTTAGGACTGGTTGCTGGGATGCGTCGGATCGATACTGACCGGGGGAACTCGGTTGATCACAGTACGGACCACCATTTATAATCGTGGTTGAAAGACGCTGACCACCGCCAGACTCCAACGGAATCGGAGGTATACTCTGTTTGCGAACCGGACCAGACAATGAAGGAGAACTTCCGTTGACGTCGCGATCATGATTGACCACTGAACCAGTCGAATGTAGGACAGAGGAGCGCCTAGAACTTTGGGAGAATAGTGGTAGCAGCTTGGACCATAGATCGATTAGATTTTGGCGGCTCATATCACCCATATGGTCAAGCAAGGTTAGCAGGAGTGTGCGAGAAGCATAACGCACCTTAAAATGGGAAGAAAAATAGTCTTTCAGTATTTTGTTGGAGATTAAACATTCTTGTGATAATGAAAAAAATGAGAAAAACTTACAGGCAACGTTCTATCTTGCCATTTTCGAACCAGGTACTCCAATTGAGCAAACTGACCAATTGCTTCGGTAGGGACCGATATCGTAGACTGGGCCACTGGGCCAATTAGGCGGGCCGCCAACTGCAGCCAGTTTGCTCGTATTGTAGCACAAGCTGGCCATTCTCCATCGCGTTCAGGTTGAAGCGGGGTTCTTATGACTGGTTCGAACAACCTGACAAGATAGTCAGGAGAGAGACATGTCAGAGTCTCCACCAGGCTCATTTCCGTAAGCAGCATGGTCGTGCTGACCAACGAATGAAGGGAGTGTAATCTAGATGAACTGGATTGAGGCACTGGACTGTTTTGGCCGTGCGGTACCGAAGGCCATCCTACAATACACAAGTAGGTAGTATGTCATAAAAACGAACAAGATATACATATATATCAAAGCAATTGAGACAGGCATCAGCACAATGAAAGAAGGGTTCTGAGACCCTCAAATAAGGCAGCACCTCATGTGGGTGCTTTTCAGTGAACAGCCTTTCAAACTGAAAGGCACTCGATCTTGATTGGCTGGCATTCTGACCAATCAGGGCATGCCTTCTATTGGTCCGTAGCCTGCGCGTGAGACATCCGTCGGTCATTAGGGACGACTGGCCTCCGGACACTCCGGTATCCCCCATAAGGCGTTTCTTCCCCAAAACAGTGTTATCCAAACAAAGAGGCTTATTAATCCGCGGGCAATTCAAGAGGATCGGACGGCTTCTGGTATATTATGTCGGACACAATATGTGACTGAAGCTATTCCACGCTACAGCACACCGTGAAGCTTGTGACGAGTTAGCGGTAAACCGCAAAACCTTTCCTTTGTGGTGATGTCGTTGGGCTGTTTTAGCGGAGGAATGAGTTTCAACAACACTCATTTTGTCAAGGAGGATGATACTAAAAATAATTGGTGATAATTTCAATCAAAGCGATATTGGAAGAGGAGAAGCTTAAGGAAAGGCCGAAAAATAATTTTTAAGTATTGTTCAGAAGTAGAACAAGTGCCTTCCTATCTCTGTTAACCATCCGATTCTACGTGAGCGTAGAGTGTCTCACAAGACAAGCGGATCGGAATTCGTTTACCATTATCGATGAGAGGGTGAGAATTTCAAATTGGGACTGATTAGGATTCGAAGAGAATAGTGGGCGAACGGTTAAAAGGATCTGAACTACTCAAAACGCAGCAAACTGTTCGGAACTCACACAAAGTCATATCGATACACTTCTGCCATTACAACTCGAAAGAACTACTTGTACAGACCCTCTAGAACCCAATTGATGCCTTGGCTTATTCTATACGATGGCTACGCGAGTTGTCCTAAGTGAAACTCACGAGACAGATGTGACAGGATCGATCAGGTACTACAGTGAATAGCTAAGTGCTGACAGGACATCCGTCCATAAGTATGGCAGTTTAGACATCCTATCATTCATTTATGGGTGACCAATTGACAGTGTGTGTGAATAAATTACACTGGAACAAGTTGAAGCACCCGTCATTCTTTGATCATGTGGTTCGAGGTTCGCAGCCAGATACTAACTGGTCCGCCTCAGATGACTGTAATTGGGCGGGGTGTTTTCCATTCATCAGCAAATTACTTATATTAAGCAGTTGTTAAATACGCCATTCGTTTACAGGGGGGAACATGGGAACATGACCTCCATTTAGTGAATCTCCAAACGGGGAGCCAGTCAACGCTAACTTATGTGGCGCCAACTGTGTTGTTGAAATGCAAGCTGGTCAACAGGCCTCAGCTGAATTCTGGATCCAAACCAAAATGGGACCCTTCCTGAAACGTAAAGTCCTGGGATTTCCGATTCTGAATGAGTAGAATCTACGGAAGGAGATGAACAAAGGTTATCACAAACAATTCCAGAGTTGTCCCCAATGGGTATTTCAACTTCAATGTTTGTTTTTCGAACCAGCTGTTCCTCGGATTTAACACCGACCTTGGTTTAGTATGCACAAAATGAGTAAAACACCATACAGCGTACTGGACACCACAGTAAACGCTGAAAATAAAACCCACGACAGAAATCGGTCTCTGGCTAGGCAGTGAATCGTGAGTGGGGCTAATCAGCATATTGGACCAGTCTGTGGACAAAAGCACATACACACAAAATGGGGGTAACAGCGAAGCGAGTGGAACGAGAACTGTGAACACGAATTAAGCAAAATGAGGACAATGGAAACTAGGCCGAAACTGGGCTCACGATACGTCAGGCTATGCGATCTGTACCATTCACCACTGAAAGATAGTGCCTTTGGAAACTTAGCAGTGAATAAATTATCCGAGGATTCCGCCATAAAATTCCAACACGCGATTCTTCTCCCCGAGTGGTTAAGGCGCAAGCTTACGGACTGGAAGGGACGTGGTCTAAAACCCGATCTCAGCATCTCGGCTGCCCTGTCTAGGCTTAAGCAGCCTAGCAGTATCCCAGCCCTCGTGCCTCCTTTCGTTGGCATGCCAGCTAGACACGGAAAGGGTGCTACAGGTGAACAATTTTCTCTGTGGAGAGTGTTATCCAGCAACATACATGCAATCATTATGTCGGACATACCTTTGTATGAGCTTACGCTCGTATCTGTGCATACGACAGTCCAGTAATCAAACCCCAGGAAGGGAGACAACGGTCTTTTGTTACTGAGAATTACGGGTGAAGGCGTCACCAGGCCTAAGGATCGTTTTCTAGATTACTGGCCAGAGAAAAATGGTAATTAAATGTAAATCCTGATTTAGAACCTCAGTAACGCGAAAAGACATCCAAAAAGAACAAAAACAGGTTGGTCACGAACAAGTGAGGCAATGTGGAGGAATGTGAGGAATGTGATGTCGGAAGCGCACTTTTGACCCCGAATTCAAGCTATCCAGTCGGTGTTGGAACAGCGGTTGATATAGACTCTATTATACGCCTGAAAAGTCATGCAGGTCGATCGCTTCAGAGTCCTATCGAAAAATGGTTTTTCTGGTGCGGAGACTGAAGCGATTTATGTGGAGCTGGGCGCTGTAGGATTATTTTCAGGAATCCAGTCTTTCTGAAAGTCCAGTATCATGATGCAAGGGTCGACCGGGACATTTTGATCTAATTCCTACCATCACAAATGGAATCCCGAACCACTGTAAGATCCGCCAATGGGACTTCCATCACTGTGGACTTCCAACTCTCCCCCACAAGAGCAAACCAGGAGCTTTTACCATTCATGAACAGCGGTTTCCTTCACTCGTGACCCCGGAAGATGTTACCTCCTGGTGCTGTATGCACCTTCTATTGGGCTGGGGAGTTTCCGGGTATTCACGTGCTCCAAACACATGGCTGAACATACATGACCCTCAGATGCAGTGCGTCTGGAGGTTTCATAGATATCAAATGGAATTCGATTCGTGATTCGCCGAAGTCACCCTGAATTACATATGCTGAGAATCTGGACATCTTAACTTGAGTGAGAGAGCGAGAAGTCCCAAGTGGTTAGAGCGCGAATTTACTGACCGGAACGTCCGTGGTTCGAACCCGACTTCTGCCTCTCGACTTCCCCTGTCTAGGCTTGGGGAACCTGGCAGTATCCAAGCCCTCATGCTTCCTTCGGGTGGCATAGCACCGGAGGCACCGGAAGGGTGTTACAGCTGAACGATTAAGTTGAACGATGGTAGACAAAATCAGGGAAAAGTGGGTGAACCTAGTATCCTTTCGTACGATATTTCATTACAACACTGCAATGAACAGTGTCTGATTAGATGGCAAGCACGCACGATTTACAGTGTAAAGACACACCGCAGAGGTTACTCAAGCTACTAATAAAAGGAAGAGGATAGTTTTCATTTCGTTTAAGGAAATACCAGGATAATTCTACGCATCTGAAAAATCCCAAACGATAAATTCACATGGAAGGATTTGGCGAATGCTACATGAATGCCTCAAGAGTTCTAGGGAGAAACAGTCGGGAAACTCACCAGGCATGCTGATACTCAAACATCCGTGTCTGGAGAGCAATCCAAGACACAGGGTGTCGTGTAGACGAGGCCTGGACATGACTTCATCGTCCGTGCCATTCGGTGATTCTTTGGTGAAGCTGAGACACGCGCGGAGAGCACGATCGGCGCCGGTATCCACCCCCCATGGATGGACAATGGACAGTAATAGTTGAACAAGCTCGAAACGAGCATTGGATGCCGTATGGGTGATGGCAATATCGGGCGAACCATCAGTGTTAACCTAAAACCGTGAAAAAAGACACCGAAATAGGCCCACGGCTTCAATACCATCACGGAGATCTGTTCTGGTGAGGTGTAATGCTGAGTACGAGTACCGTACACTCATCTAACAACTCCTCACGTCTATTGACCCATGAAAAGTTTAGAGTTAGCTGGGCGGTTGTGTTACTGTCAAAGTAAAGACAGCTTTAGTCACCAACCGAAGATTCACAGGTTCAAGGGGATAGATCGCCGATAGACCGAAATGACCAAATAGCGGCGTCACCAGCACAAGCTTCGTGGCAGCTTGGGAAACTCTGCGAACGAAGTGAAGCTAATTGAAGCAGACACAACTAGCGAACGATACACCAAGTCCTAGATCTACCGAGGTATGGTTGGACATGCTCATCTGACTTTCAAGCGAGGACTCCTCAACGGTTACATAAAACGACCCAAAATAGGCAGAATAGCGTTACTTCATGGAAATACACTGTTGCTCTTGTTTGCTGTGTCGTTCATAGGCCAGAAAAAATGTGTTAGAACACGGGAGATGAGATTATAGGTTTCCAAAGCCCCAAATCAAAGCAGTGAACAAACTGACAATAACCATTTAACAAACGCCACCAACAATATTAGACCCTCATCGGTAGTTTCCTTGAACAGAAAATGCCCGTTTTCCGGTACGTGATTGGCTGGCTGTTGACGTGTTCGGTGAGCTTGGAAGTTAGCTTGCAACCGTTTCATAAGCAATCGAGGAGATACCAGCTTCATGCATCAATCAGTCCACTCAGGTCGGTTAATCCGATCGCTTGTGCCGTTCACATCAACTTAGACACGCATTGAATTTTACCATTTTGGCCACCAAATTACAATCTGACAAATGACAGTGATAAAACGGACCATACACGTGACTACGGTGATTATATGGTACGGATTTATGTCGCCACTCTGAAGTTCACACAGTTACGACATTACCATATAGCAGCAGGACGGCCAAAGTAACTGGAGCGATTCAGTAAAACTCTGGAATTTTGTTCACTTCACACATGAGGTTCGGCCTTATGCACAGATCAGTGAAACGGATGCCTACATGATCTGAGTACAGTGTTGAGAAATTAGCAAGGACGACTCGGTTTCCAGTGGTTACCTGGAAAAAATCGTAGTATAAAACGCTGTATCTTGAATAAAGTCTCTTAACGAAATACTACTAGCAAGGTTGATGGAAACTATGCGGCCGGTTTCGCTCTTCCTGGTGCTCCATCATCCGGACGAGATGGACCAAGTGGTTAGAGCGCGAATTTACTGACCGAAAGGTCCGTGGTTCGAACCCGACCTCTGCCACTCGACTTTCCCTGTCTAGGCTTGGACGACCTGGCAGTATCCCAACCCTCGTGCCTCCTTCGTGTGGCATGGCAGCTAGACCCTGAAAAGGTGCTACAGCTGAAAGCTTTCCATCATCTAGGTGCAGTCCCCGACCTTCCATCAACCTCATGTCCTACTTGGACAGAATACGCAGATTGCCAGATACACTCATTTGCATTAGTTTCTATCAAAAAAACGGAGGTCCGTGGTTCTCTGAAGCGTAGAAATCACATTTCATACGACGCTGAAATGTTTGAGATAGGAAAATCCTTTTCTCTTCTAAGACCAGTTCTCTCTGGAAGGAGGGTGGATAGCCATGTACGAAAGTTCATCGTGTTACCGACGTACTTTTTCGTTTTCCGCAAGCAAGTCAACTGGAAGAGAAGAGCAAGAAGGAAGAGATGTAATACAAGTTGACTGAGTGACAACAGAAGCACGAATAAAATTCTTAGAAGTTTTTTGTAGCGGTCCTCACCTATCGCCGATTCAACATCCCAGTGAAAAACGAGTGCCGCAGGTCCACTGGATAGTAGATCAGCTGAGCTCGAACAGGTACTCCCCACAGTTTGCAACTGCACTACTGATAATTCCTGTAGCCGGGGTGATGCTGAACAAACAGAAGCGGCGGAATGAGGCCAACGCCGCCTGGAGCTAGCAGCAAATTTTACCGAAGCAGCGCAGGCGAACTGACTGACGCTCCCGCAAAAAGAAGGGAAGGAGACGGAAGAGTTTTGACTTCTGGTATTCGGTAGATATGGGACGACGGAAGCAGCGAATCCGAACGTAGCCGGCATATTCTGAACTTCGACAACAAAGTGAGCCTGCTCAAGAACATCCCTGGCAAGCTGGTCTCGTTCCAACCTGATGATGAAGAAATAATAAAAAGCGTCGACCATCTAGAAGGTGATTGAACTATGTGCAGAACTGATGAGTTTTGTTGCTAAACCCGAAACTGTGGAGAGGTATACTTACCCAAATCCTCTGGTTGAACAGTGGGTGGCATAAATCGAAAAAGCTTGCTCCTTGTACTTAGTAAAACTATCCACATCATAGTAAGACCCTATGGACTGAAAAGAGGTTCAGATTTGATTGCTGTCAGAGCATTCTTCAGCGATAAACCACGCACAATGCTAATTGCGGAGCGACTAGCTTTGTTTGAGATATAATATTCCCCCTAAACGCGAATTCTCGTTTGGTTCACTTCAACTGCACATCTTGACCACCGTGGCCCCTGTAAACACTGAGGTAATCAACGCAGGATTGCAATAACGTCTTTGGGATAAAATAGCAAAGGTTTTACGCTTCCAAAGAAATTAATAAGCAATCACCAAACTGGTTTCTAGCGTAGGTAGTCAGCAAGTCGACGGTACTCAAGGTTCGTCAGGATGCGGTGAGCACACAAGCCGATTCTGAAAAGTGCAGATATCGAAATCGATAGTAGTGAAACCACAAGGCGCACGCAAACTACACATTCGCACAGGTCGGTGACGCGGAAGATCAGAGCGAAGCAACAAGGTGGGTAAGCCTGTGAAGTGGTCCACCAATAGTGGCAAAATCTCTCCGGTAGTATGATGCAAGATCGAAAAGCCTACGTAAGCTACGGACACCCATCGGTGTCGGCCACTCGGTAATGTGCTAGGTCTTATCAGGGTCCGTTTGGACCCCATCGGAAAAGAGAAGGTGACCGAAAAACAGCACTTCGCGTTGTAGAAACTTGCATTTCTCCGCGCGAAGGGTTAGGCCAGCCTCCTAAAGGCGACAGAAGTATTCTGGCCGACTGTTGTGTTCACCAATCGTCTAACGATGAAGAATAATGGCAGTCATGTAAATCAAGCAATATCTCAGGGATAACTCCCCAAGTACCGTCTGCACGAGCCGCCGAAATGTACCTGGTGCGTTGGCCATTCCGAACGCCATTGCTTCGAATTCATATGGACTTGACGGCACTGCGAGAGTCGTTTTACAACTGTCCTTCGGGCGAACCTCAACTTGCCAATACCCAGAGTAGAGAACCAGTTTGAACCAGCCACTGCGTCAACAGTATCGTCTACACGTGGAAGCGGGAACGAGTCGCGTCAGTAACCTGATTTAGTTGTCGGTAGTCCACACATATCCGTAGAGTACGATTGGTGAGAACCAGGGTGAGGAAGATGGGCAGATGATCTTCTTTCGGAAAGTAGCTTATCAAGTTCACCCTGATAATGGATTAGAACTCCGCAGGGTCGGTGTTTCGCAACCAAGAATCGTTGGACTGTGTGCGTATCACAAACGTTTTGCGGCAAGGTTTTGTAAGGTAACGGCCAGTTGATCTGCCGACTTGCCTGTGCCGATTCCGGTTAAAAACGCTATCGAAAAATGCCTCTTCAACAAATGCGAGTCAATTTTGAGATACATTTGCGATATGCCCGCCAAACCCAATGTGACACGCACAACGGAAGACGGAATGGCCAAGATGTCGGCTGACATTTCACGAGTAGAGGTCCACCGAGTTCAACCGACCGGGACCCACTTGGTCTTCCTGTTCGGCACCGATCACCACGCGACCGTATGTCATTGTTAATAGATCAAACAACACCTATGTCATACGTGACTCTTGTCAATCACATTCGGATTTAAGTAAAATTAAATCGTTCCGCTGTAACACTCTTCCGGTGCCTAGAAGGAAGCACGAGGGTTGGGATGCTGCCAGGTTGCCCAAGCCTAGACAGGGAAGTTGAGAGGCAGAGGCCAGGCTCGAAACACGGACCTTCCGGTCAGTAGATTCGCGTTCTAACTGTAACCACTTGAGCCATCTCGCACCCATAACCTGATTTACAATTTGTACATTACAACCGGTGAAAGTCCTCTCCTCCGCCCCGTCCCGATGTCCAGTCGTCAACCTCTCCCTATCTTCCTCCTGTCAGCCATACAATTGAGATCAATATAAATGAGACCAACACTCCTTTTGAGCACTGATGACAGTGCTCATGCTCGGGAGGGGCATTGTAACATAACTGAAACTGAACTGTACCGTTTGGTACGTGTTTTTCACATTACTGAATGTATGTATCTCTCTTCCCTATGACAGGAACCCCCGATGAGACACCACGAGCTCCAGGTAGGAAGCTATGGTCGGGATTGTACGTCCCTCCCTATTTTGGTACCTCAAGTGACTTTTGCCTGCAGTTTCGGTTTCAGTATACCCACGTTTTTGCCTCCCTCAATCCTGCGTCACCCAACCTGTGCGAATGTGTGCTTTGTGTGCCGTGCGGATTCAGTAATACCAACCTCTATATCTGCACATTTCAGAATCGGCGTGTGCCGTCACTACATCCTCGCGAACGTCGAATACGGCTGACTTTCTGTCTACCCGAACCTGAGCCGAAAGGCGTAAAAAGATATTCAAACAAACAAATGAATCGAATAGAGTCTAGAGTGAGAAATCTCTCCGACTATGAACACTGTCTGTCACGCTAAATGGACTAGAGCTTACCGCTCCAGACAACCGATCATTACGTCCCAAATCTCCAAAGAACCGTCCACATGAGCGATCAGCAAAAGGTCTTCGGGTACCCTCCAACCGATTGCCATAACAGGTGAATCGGAGAGGGAGTGCGCGGCGCCAGTAGACAGCAAGTGTCGCTGCTCAGATAAGTTGATGACCGAAACGGAGCCATCGGCCCCAACGGAACAGATGCAACTCTGAAAAAGAGGAAAAATATGACAATCGACAAACGACCTTGTTCAAATGCTTCAGCATTCAAGTCGAAGTATTCATCCCATGTTTAAAAAAACACTAGATAATGACGTAGAGTAAATAACTACCTGGTATTATCAAGCCTTTGAACCGCTGTACTTTGTGAGTCTGCAATGCCTCTTTGGTGGTCTGCAACAATAAGTCCTCTCATCTCATGTTCACCAAGTACGAAACAAAAGGAGAAAATAGCACGCGACAGTATCAGAAAACCGTATGTGTTGCTGTACGGATTACTGGACATTGTGCGGAAAGCAACGCTTACCACTAAACAATAAGACCAGAAAAAACGGCCTCAATCCACCAGAACGAAAAAACGGGATCATCTGTTTACAGCGAGTCCTTGTTTGTACTCTAAGTAGCCTATGTACCACAGTATGGTTTCATTGTGTATTGAAATCTGAATAGAGTTCTCTTTACCGCTTCGCTCCGGTAATGTGCATATTCGGGAACCTATTTAGCTGCCAGGAGAACAGTTGCTTAGGCAGATGATCAGAATGTCGTTCAGCTGTAACATTCTTCCGGTGCCTAGCTGCCATGCTACCCGAAGGAAGCACGAGGGCTAGCAAACTGCCAGGTTGCCCAAGCCTAGACAGGGGAAGTCGAGAGGCAGAAGTCGGGTTCGAGCCACGAACGTTCCGGTAAGTAAATTCACGCTCGAACCGCTTGAGCCATCTCGATCAGAATGCGGCCTGTGTCAGCTAGCTGAAAGCGGATTCCTCACCCATTGCCTGTATTGTGAACAGTCAAAGGGTGGGGGGTTACGAATGGTATGCGGTATGCTTTGGCTCGCCTTGTCAACTTGCTTTAGTTATTGAAGAGTACATTCCCCACTTCCAGTGCGTAATTTCGTAGTAGAGGGGTTCAGCTATCGTGAGTTGCATGCCGTGCCAACACACCAACTCGGTTACTCGGATCCGGTGACGCGCTCGCGCATTATCTCGAAAATCAAATGACGATTGGCGCGAATGCGTAACTCAACCGAACTACGACTAGATCTTTAGTGTGTAATCTGTTTTAAGTGAACGGACAGCACAAAGGATGTTCAAGATTTCGTTAGGCCAAAATCCGATATATTGAAGGATTTTTTTTCTAGAAGAGCTACCATCAGGCGTTATACAACAGTATTTCATGTGAACATTGCTGAAAAGAATTTAGAAATAAATGAGGAGGCATGTCCAGGAGAGAAGACTTGGTACTTTTAGAAAGTGGTGTGAAAAGACGTTACTAAAAGGGATGGTTTCGTCTCAAATAAGCGATCGAATCCGGGGGGTTCGATTGATTTTTGAGAGAGTCAGGTCATTTGTGGCGAGTAACGACGAGCACCAACACGTAGAAAAGCACTTACACAAATGCGTGAGTTTCCAGCGCAAGGGTGCAAAACAGCAAATGTTGGTGGACCCACTGTAAGTGCAATACAGGGCGATGCGTGGCACTGAAACACAGCCAGACAAGCTGGATCAAGGCTTGAACTCTCCGTTGCATTATCAGTCCGACGGCTTCGTACACGTTCTGCCAAGCCTCCACGCCACGGATCCAAATCCCAAAGACGGACAGTGAAGTCAGCACCTCCGGAAACCAAATGATCAGGATTGAACTGACAGTTGACGCAGTCGATGCTACTGCCGCTTGTTCTGTCATCGCAACTCTGAACAAGGTACTCATCAGCGCTGGCAGGGTGTAGCAAACTTGTCACAGGACCAACATGACCACAGAGATGAAAACGACTGTGTTTCAACAAACTGTCCGCGTTCGTTAAACGTGCCGATGATCGGAAATCGGAAGTCCAATAGGTGGTCCGTAAAAAATCGGCCAGCCGCACTATTGTAATCTGACCGTTGGAAAACCCAAACGCCAATCGTCGTGGCGACAAATGCTCAGGGGAGCCCTGACGGATCGACATCATTTGGGAAATCTGAATGCACGCTGTGACGGTTAATCCCTCCAAAGCATTGGTAACAAGCGGCTTTCCAGTCGAAGAGGACTCGGTCTTTTGGACAGAATAAAAGAGAAAAAAGAGAAAATTAAACCAACTGCTTCATAGAATACACTGTTTTCACATGGAAACAGAAACTGAGGTGGGTGGTGGGTATTTGGTGTGGAGCCGAAACTGACACAATAAATTAGCGAATGTGTACTCATTTGCAAACTAATTTGGTTTTTGGAGAGACTCACCTAGAACCCAGCTGAACCTCTCGTTTGCGATGTTTCCAGGCGGCCAAATTAGTTTGCAAACGAGTGTATATTCGCTAATTTCGTGCAATTTGGCTTCAAGTAGAACATAAGGTTGACGAAAATCCAGGGACTACGCCTACCTGATGAGCCCCGAAAAGGGTGAAACCGGTCAGGGGCTGTCGACGGATTTTCAGCAACCTTGTGACCCAATAAATGTGTTAAAAAATTTGTAAGATAGTATGCATGAAATAGTGGAGCAAACTCTAACTTACTTCCCATGACGGCACCACTAGCTTAAGCAAACTTTACTTCTGGCCATAGATTTAACTTGCTACATCTAATGACATTCACAGATCGAAGATGGTACTCAAACCGGGCCGAACCGTTCCGAAGAAATTTATTACAACACCAGCTCATATGTGTACGGGGCGCGACTACGTGCTCGAGTACTGCAGCTTGATATTACCTATCCGGATATAGGGAAATGGTACTCAAGCGTAAACAGTCTTAGACTTTTTTACCCCGTTTCTCTATGGCTTTATGACAATAAGACGGTCGCAACTACGAACGTATGTGATGAGCACTAAATCTCGAAGAGTATAAATATCATCGTCATGGAGAGCATAACACCAGTGTATAACACCGATGCCCCGCTGCCGTAAGAACCTTAAAAGCAGCCAGACAGACTGAGCGTAGAGGCATGAACATGGATTACGAGACATCTGACGCTGTCAGCGCTCATCGTTCAGCTGTCACACCCTTCCGGTATCTAGCTGCCATGCCACCCGAAGGAAGCACGAGGGCTGGAATATTGCCAGGTTGACCAAGCCTAAACAGGGGAAGTCGAGAGGCAGAGGTCGGGTTCGAACCTAGGATCTTCCGCTCATTAGATGCTTGAGCCACCTCGTCCCCCTGTTAACTTTTTACGGCGCCTTAATATTGTGGGTAGGCGTTTGGTAATTGGAGTTCTCCAGCAATGATGAAAAATTGCGTCGATTGTCTTATTTATTCCAAACGGAAAAAATAGTTTGCTTAGATTCCACAAAATGGGGGTGAGTAGCTACAGTCCATGTTCGAGTATCCGCATCCCATCTGCTTCAACAAATGAAGCATGGGAGTAGAGAGAAAATCGCTAAAAACAATGGGCTTCTTCTCAAATGGAGCTTCATAGCGCTGTCCTGGGGGCGAGATGGTCCAATTGGTTAGAGCGCGAATTTACTGACCGGAATGCCCGTGATTCGAACCCGACCTCTACCTCTCGACTGCCCCTGTGTAGGCTTGGGCAACCTGGCATGGGAGCTAGGCACCGAAAGGGTGTTACAGCTGAACGACGCGCTGTACTGTAGATCGAACTTTGTAGTTTCGGCGCAACTAAATACTCAATACAGAGAAGGATCAAAATAATGAACAATTCATCTGGAATAAAATAGGTTGAACAAAACGACCTACCGTTGACAGAGACAGCAAAGGATTCGGGGGATGCTGGCGCCAGGTTGAAACCAGATCACTCACAAAAGAAGGTTGGAATGTGTGTGCTGTGGTTGAATTAAGTACAGAATATATGCAACAAATCACAAATGAGTAGATTAATACTGAGATCGTGGAGTAGTTTACAATCAGTAGAGCGATAGAATAACCTAAAGTAACTTATGCATAAAATCAGCAAGATATGGTGAACGCACTGGACCAAGGTGGGGTAAACTGCATAAACACCAGTGGAAGAACAAACGTATGAACCCCAAAGGCGTGCAACATTTGTGTCATCACCACAGTGTTCAGAACCACAGTAACCCTCATCCAGGGAGGATACCCTTGAGGAAATTCAGAGGACAGGAGCAACATCAGGCTTGTGCAACATCAATTATGAGTCCGTCTAATCAGGTGTTCCAAGAACGAGAGATAATTATTTCGAAGCATGAAGATGGACCTCTCGAGTAAGATTAGGTAGGAGCGGTATACACCCAAAGGAGGGGATGTTCCGAGTGGTTAGAGCGCGAATTTACTGACCGGAAGGTCTGTGGTTCGAATCCGACCTCTGCCTCTCGACCTCCTCTGTCTAGGCTTGGGCAACCTGGCAGTATCCCAGTCCTCGTGCTTTCTTCGGGTGGCATGGCAGTTAGGCTCCGAAAGGGTGCTACAGCTGAGCATTTTTTATACACCCAGTCCATATGCTGAAAACGAAGCAAGTGGCAAATGTGGTTGACAACCTACGATCTATGGTCAGTGTAACTAGGCGCAACTACGAACTGGTATCCAGGACAGCTTTCCTTCCCTGTTTCGGATTCGATGTCACAGTTGGCTTGGGAACGATGAAAGCTCCGTTAGGGGGAGACAAGATTCACTATGCATAGGGTTGAAGAGTTCAAACTGAAATGAAACATCAATGGTGAGAATTATCGAGTACATTTGATTAACCACCACATGAATAATAATAACGGGTAAAAACGAGATGACTGTGATGAACAAAATCTCCCTGAAAAAACTTCACCTGCATACAGCCATGGAACAGATCAAACCGGCCGAATTACTGGTACACACCTGCATCCGACTCCTGAGGAGTATTCGCAGTACCGTCACCAAGCACGGTTCGGTCCAAACGCCAATGTAATAGTTGCCCGCGTGAGGTACCTCCCAGGAGGAATGGTGGGGACTCTTGTGACGGGCTGATGAGTAAATGACACATTGGTTCTGCTACGAAGGAGAACTCCTTGTCGGTAGGGGGCTGCATTCAAGAAAATGAATCAAACAAGGTAGTCGTACTATTGGAACGCTTTTAAAACTATGGGCGCAATATGTGCAACAAGTTGAAAGTCAAGCGGAGACGAACAAGGGGAAGAATATGGTTTCGAATGAACGGAATAGCCCACGTGAACTGTTTTCCCAGCTACTTCGCCAGGCATAATGACGTCATGGTATCACTGGAGAACGTAAACGAGGGGAAGAAAACGGTTAACTTAGACGACAAGAGAACTTACCAGCAACCTCGCGACTAAAGCAGCATAGCCACAGGACAATGATGTGGTTCCGGAAGGAGTTCTGAAAGGAAAGCGACAAATGCAAGCATGAGGATAACGCAGAACAGTTGGCAGAAAATCTGAGTGAACCACACAATAGAGCATTAACAGAATCCACAAAAATTGCTCCGGTTCCTATGTATATTGGCGTTTGAATTGTATTTACTGAGACGTGAATGAGTGTAACTGGTGTGATTTAGTTGACTGCTGAATTTTAGTCAGATGCAATCAAGTTCGTTGGAAAAGGCAGAGATGGTAACATGGAATTCGTCAAGTCAATGCAAATGGGACATACCGTGTATCGAAGCGATAGACTAAAGCAGCGCCCGAGCGACAATACACCAGCACAGCATTACGGTCAAGGAACTGGCCACCGACCAGAGGGTCCTTGTCCGGGTTAGGGTGGGAGTGAAAAATTGAGCAAGCCATGGCATCCAGCAACTGAAATTCCAAAGGATCAAGGGGGTTTGAGTGGAACATGATGTAACGTTCGTGTAACTCATTGCCGAAAAACCAGCAGTGCACACGGGATTTGAAGAAACCATATGAACAAGGTTGAGGTTCTCTTTCATTCATTACGTGTAATATCAAATTCAAACGGGTTTAAAAAGTATGTATAACAAAACACATGATTATGGAGTCATTTCCTTTAACTGTTTGTCAGTTCTATGGTTTCTGAAGCAAAGTGAAAGTGATTGCTTGAAAAAGAAACCGCAATACTCCAATGTCTCAAGCTAAGTACCTGAAAATTCGCAAAAATTGCTTGTATTTTAACAGTGATGCTAGGGACACACTTATATGTCCACTGAAAGTCACACTGCTGAAATCTACCATATCAGCCACCACCTCGTACGCAATGCCACTCCGAAAAAGCCACCCCCACTCAGATGAGGCGCCTTACCGCTTTCCTTATGAAAGCAGTTCTTAAAGATTTCCTCGGCCACAAACTACAATACGAGTCTCCTTCCGGCAAACAGAACCAGGGACTGGGTCAAGTGGACTACGGTCCACGTCACACAGACTGATCGCCGAGGCGGCAGAAATCGCCAAGCATCCCAGTGTTGACAGAATAGAAGGCGTGGAACTGGCAAGCGTGTGAAGAACGGTTCTGGATCAGTCGACTTGACACGTGTTGGTGTGCGGTCATCAGAAGGAAGAAGGTCATCATATGAATTCCACTCGACCTCAAACCCCCTCAAACTAAATTGTCGGAGCACTCACGACCCCACAAAGACCAGGATAAATCTACCGGTGGCA